GCATATTTTGTCAGTATTGTAACAAATAGAAAATGAACCTAATTCATGCTAATATGAATCCCAGATTTTAAACAAAATGTTAAAGAAGCTTGAGCATTGCACCATCATCTCCGGCATCAGCTCTGGCCAGTGCTGATGTCAGATGATGGTGCAAAACTGAAATGGTTCAATGCCGAGCAATGCCAGCTGATGTCAGATGATGGTGATGCAAAGCTAAAATCAATGGTGCAATGCCGAGCAATGCCAGCTGATGTCAAATGATGGTGCAAAGCCGAAGTGGTGCAATGCCGAGCAATGTCGGCTGATGTCAGATGATTGTGCAAAGCCGAAATGGTGCAATGATGAACAATGCCAGCTTATGTCAGATGATGGTGCAAAGCTCAAATGGTGTAATGCCGAGCAACGCCAGCTGATGTCAGATGATGGTGCAAAGCCGAGCAGTATCGGCTGATGTCAGATGATGATTGTGCAAAGCCAAAATGGTGCAATGCCGAACAATGCCAGCTGATGTCAGATGTTGATGGTGCAAAGCTGAAATGGTGCAGTGCCGAGCATTGCCAGCTGATGCTAGAGATAATGGTGCAAAGCCGAAATGATGCAATGCCATTACAAGAGATGATGATGGTGCAATGCTAAAAGTGTTTTGAAAAGTTGTTTTCCACAGAAACCTGAATTAATATTAATAATGCATTTTCACAAAATTCTGCTTAAAACAGTTGCATGAATGTAAAAGCACAAGATGCAGATTGCAGAATAGTGTACCTAAGTAAATTTGACAGTGTGCCCACCTACACGTGTCTTCCAGCTGATGCTGGTCTTTGTTATTTCTAAAGCATCGATACTAGCCATCCTTAAATCATGCAGGCAAATATGCAGCCCTAGTGTTGTTACTCCTCCAAAACAGTGAAACTCCTGGGGGCTCAGATTTGGTCCACTATTTTTGGGTGTGTGGTGCAGCTATTTTTTATTTTTCATATATTTAATTCTATTTTATTTTTCGCCATCACGGGGGGCATGGCCCCATGCCCCCTCCCCCCATGGCTACATCCCTGAAATCATGCTAACTGATCAATCAGTTGCATTTGACAGTTCAATGAGAATTCAATTCTATTTTCACAGTTCTATTTGACAGTTCATGGTAATCTGCTTCTGGAAGGCTATTGCAGATCCAGCACCTCTTGTTTTATCAGTTTCAATGCTTTCCATGGTTCTCCCTTGTGGCACCACAGAAACTGTTCCTGCTGTTGAGACTCAACTTTTGACTTTTCTTTGGTTTCTCTCAACTGAAACCTGCGGCTGCATTAGACATACACTCATAGCAATGTATATTGTATGTTGCTGTGATCTTGTCACAGGGTTCTGTCTTTTCTCTGTGCTTGTTTATCTTAACAGGACTACAAATGGGTAGCACAAGAGACTGGCTACTAAAGCCATCTATCTTTATCATTTTCTCCAATCACCCTTTGCCGGCCTGTCCCCTGTTGGCCTATTCAGTGTACCTACTGTTTTGTATATAACCTCTAACTTGATGTAACCTATGTAACCTGTTGTTTTCAGCCTGTTGCAATATTTATCTCCCATGGATTTCAGCATCAAATTCTTTGTATTTATTGCCTGCAGGTATGGGAAGATGATCGCTGGCGGGAAAACTTCCGAATGACGAAGACATCCTTTTTGAAGCTTGTTGACCTCGTCCGCTACAAGATGGAGCCGAAACCGACAGCTGTGAGGGAACCCATCCCATTGGAGAAGAGAGTGGCAATGGCATTGTACAACCTTGCCAGCAACATGGAATACCGTGTCACAGCCAACCAGTTTGGATCCCATAAAACAACAGTAAGTAGAACATGGCCGGCCTCAAAGATGTGATAAATGATAATAGGTATGCATTGTGCAGTAGGTATCCTAATGGAGTCAATGCCAGTGATATACCTATGCTTTTGATGTATGCTTCTTCATCAGCAGAAGGGTAGGTGCAGTGCTACCGTGCAAAGGCAAAAAACGATTATGCCAGGCCAGAGGTCATCAGGTTGACCTCTGATGCTAGAGGTCAGTGGTCAACCTAACAATCGTTTTTGCCTTTGCAAGGCAGAGTGCACAAAGACCTCTTATCAGCACACCAAGTGCACAAGTTCATTGTTACATCTATTATACATTGCGTGGCACCAGTGATGCCCGAACCAGCCAGTGCCCTGGAAGTCAAGTATCAGTTCATCATAATGCGCGTTTTTTTTTTCTTTGTGTGCTCAGGTCCTTTCATATTGTTTTTTGATACACATTAACCGATTGTGACGTTCTTGCCGCAGGTGAGAAAACATCTTCTGGGGTTCTGCTCAGCAGTTGTCGAGTGCATGGCCGACTACATCCAGCTGCCGTCTGCTGCCGAAGCCATTGAAATCGCACGTCGTTGGGAGGCCAAATGGTCGTTCCCGCAGGCCTACGGTGCTATCGATGGCACACACATTCCAATCACGGCACCGAGCGACGGCTTTCGGGACTACGTCAACAGAAAAGGCTGGCCTTCAATACAGCTCCAGGCCGTCTGTGACGACAGATACTTGTGAGTACTTCGAATTGGGCTACCTTGTACTACCGTGATCTTTTTTAGATGTGGTACCAAACTGTACTATTATGCTTGATGGCTTGGTTTATTTACTTTTCAGTGACGGGATGGTTAAATGCTCGACGCTCGTGTATTACTCAAAAGCAAATGGAAGATGTTAAGCGATGATGATGAGTTTTATCTGCTACTGCTACATTATGAGTTCACTATTGCAATTCGGAAATTGATTGCTTTGGCAATTTAAAACCCAATTATTCCACATAACATCATTAGCGACCCAAGCCATGGATGTTGGTAAAATGTTGTCAAGTAATGACAAAAATGGTATGTCAAAAGGCATGCAATTTACAAGATACATCAGCTCAGCAAGCATGTTAAGTTGTACATTTCTTGCAATGAATATCTGGCGTTTGACCTAAACATATCGGTAGCGAGTAGCGACAGTAGCAATGTCAGTGGTATGATGGATATGATGTACCGTGCTTCCGTCTCGTTATGAATTTGTGAATTTCACATTATATTCCTTGGCGCAGGTTTCGCAACATTAACTGCGGCGCACCTGGTAGCAGCCATGACGCAGGAATTCTTGCGGCATCTCCTCTCCAAGATCATTCGCCCAGATTACCAAAGGTAAACACGCACTTTGTATCGTCTTCTTCATGCGCAATGTGCTAACGTTTGGTGTCTCGCTCGGCCAAAGCGTATCTTGTAAGCGGCCAAAGCGCCCCAGCAACTGCCGGCCGCCCTGCAGCCGTCGGCGGCCGGCGAGCTGGTGGCACGGGACGCCGAGCCGGACTCGAGGCTGGACTCGTAGGTCTTTCAACGAACTATAAAAAGCCGTATACCGTTTGTCGCTGATTCTTGGTTTTCGAGATTTAAAGGGGGTCGAAAAGGTTCCCGCCCGATTCCGAACCTTTGAGAGCCCGCCCGGAATAGGGTTAATGCGTGCTATTGAGTGTTTGTTTCCGTCATATTTCAGGAGCCAAGGATGATTGAGGGCGTTCCTGTACCACTCTGCCTGCTCGGGGACCCTGCGTACCCACTGCAGCCGTGGCTGATGAAGCCATACGCGCTGAGTCTGGCGTCGGCACAGAGCAGAGGCCTGACGGATGAGCAACAGCAGCTGGAGGCCGAGCGGGAGTCCTTCAATGTTTATCATAGCGCAGGTCGTATGGCCATCGAATGCGCATTTGGTCGACTGAAGGGTAGGTGGCGCAAACTGCAAAAGAGGATAGAGGTAGACGTGGACAAGGTCCCTCTGATTGTCTCAACGTGCTGCATACTTCACAATTTTTGTGAGACTCAGTCCGAGGTGTTTCACGATGCTTGGCTTCCCAGTCCGGATGTAGCGCGCCAGTACCCCCAGCCAGATGGACGCGCGCACCCAGCGTTAAATGAGCGGACTGCGCGTGACGCCAGAGATGCCGTGCGGGTGCACTTAGCGAGACACTGCCCACTCAGACAGTCCACTCTGCGCTTCTGATGTGTGGTGTGCACTGCGCGGCGATGATTCAGGTTGAGTTTCCCGCCAGCTGTGTGTGCAGTTGTGAGCAGGAAAGTGCCAACGTACCATGTAAGCAGTGCACTGTTCGGGACGTCGCTGTTGTAAACCGTGTTTACATTGACCGCTGAATAAACTGATCATCTATATATGAGCTTCCCTCCAAGCGCATTTTGAATCGATTTGTCCACTTTTTTTGTCCACATTTGGTCAGGTCAAAGCTCAGGTCAGGTGATGCAGGGGTCCAGATAGGCGGAATAGTGGCGCTAGAGGTCTAGTTTTTTTTTATCAAGTTTGACCAAAACCAATGACATCGAAATTTACTCGTCAGTTTGCATCAAAATACATCATTCGACCTGACTCAGTGATGACCTCAGGTCACGTGGACTCAAGGTCAGCACGCATATCTCTCGGTGCGTCTGAAGGAGCTGAATGCTACCAGGGCCCTGTTTCACCGCGTGGCGCTGCAGTGCGGCGGCGTGCGCTATGTCACTCGAATGATGTTGCGTACGATCCGTGAGATTCCGATAAACCTCGTTTGGAACAGAGCTGTGTTTGCGTATACTGTTTACCTCGTGTATACTACTACCTGGCCCCTGACCATTCGCGTAGCAGTATCTATTCTCTGTGATTACCGTTTTTCTGTCTTCACTAGCGATGTCAATTGTAGAAAATCGGGCTACCGATACCAAAACAAATACCAAATAAAACCATGGGAAAATAACGAAACCAAGCCAACTTGACATGAAGAAAATGCCAACTTCTTGCCAAAGCACAGCATCTAATACAATAGGTACTGAGTACCTATTCAAAATACCAACAACATACTAAAACCGTAACGAATGCACCCGTTACGTGATGTAGGAACCCCCGGCCCTTCGACGTGCACGTGTGACAGCTTCGCCCGTGAATCACGACAATCAACAAACGCACGTCTGACAAAGTAAATCTTGATTATATTTTGAGTTTCCACTGTGCGATAACACATATATTCATATTTACATAGGTGAACGCGACCGCGAACGGCGACGGTGCGCCCGGCGGGCCGACGCAGCGGCCATGTCGCGCATCACGCCGACCGCCTCGCGGAGCAGGTTGGTGCCGGCCCGCATCTCCTCCAGGAGGGCGTCCAGCACGCGGTCCTCCCGCTCGTCGCGTGCCTCCTCCCGCGCCGCCGCCCGGCGGTCCTCCTCCTGGGAGGCCTCCAGGGCGGACAGCACCCGGTCCCGGTAGCCGGTCGCGCTGCGGCGCCTGGCCTGCCGCTGCCGAGCGGCCCTCTCGGTGCCGCTGAGGCCGTCGTCGGCTGGCGGAGCTGGTTGTGCGGGCGTAAGGCGGGTGGGGTGGCGGCTTCGGGTGCTGGAAGTGGTTGAGGAGGAGGAGGAGGAGGTGGTGCGATTACGGGATTCAGGAACGGAGCGAGGAGCGGGGGGCGACAGAGAGGACTGGTGGCTCGATACGGATTGGTCGTCAGGAATGTCATGGAGGTGTGGCAGAGAGTTGTCTGATTGAGAGGAGCGCGGGCTTTGGAGCAGGTCGGAAGCTGAGTGCGGAACGCAAGTAGATGGACCGGGGCGTGCGGTGGAAGACGGGGTAGGGCTCAGGGTAGAGGTGGTCGGGAGGGCGGCAGAGGCGGGCGGGCGAACGGCAGAGGTGGTCGGGCGGGCGGCGGAGGCGGGCGGGCGGGCGGCGGAGGCGATCGGGCGGGAGGCGGAGGCGATCGGGCGGGCGGCGGAGGCGGGCGGGGTCTGAGGCGCGGCAGAGGCGGGCAGGCGAGCGGCGGTCGGGCGGGCGGCGGAGGCGGGCAGGGTCTGAGGCGTGCCAGCCTCAAAGAGGTCCTCGTAAAGCTGTTGCAGCTCCGCGTCGCCCGCGACGGTGGATATGTCGTCGGTATTGGCGTCCACGGCTTCTCCCCGGAAGGAGACGACGTTGTCTTCTGAAAAGACATGACGAGAATCGATAAGACTCCGTAATGAGTAGGCCTTTCCTTAGGACACGCAGCCCTTTGGAGGGAACAAAGGTGCCTTAACTTTTCATAAAGAGATTTGAGACACACGGTGCAATAAGCTAGGAAGCTAGGAAGCCATGACGGCCTCTGAGGGGCCCCACACTAGGAATTTTAAAGGCTCATAACGGACCCACTGAGCTTCCTCGCACCCACCGAGCTTTTGTTTCACACGTGGGATTAGTTAGGACGTCAGAAAATGTAGACAATATTATAATGTATCGTTAATCTGATGCTTAAAAAAGAAAAAAAAATGCACCAGACACCAGACAAGCTTGAGCATTTATTCAGCATCACATAGAAAAGGTATTATATCTTTATGAAGTTGAAGTAACAAAACAGAACATAAAAGAAAACCCTTGGGCCTATCAGAAAAGAGTGACACAAATATCTCACCGGGCAGTGGAGGATCTACTTGCGGGATCCCAAGATCCATGGTAGAGCCGGTGCTGGTGGCGACCGGTCGGCCACCAAGTAGCTCCTGTAGCAGATCTTGGTGCGGCATGTCTTCTCCACTGCCCGCTCCCGAGCGTGCCCGGGCCCGGGCGAGGCTGTTGAAACGCAGCCGGAGCGTTTTTAACTTGGTTCGGCAAACCTCCGCCGGCCGGTCGTACCCCATGTCTCCCATGGCCTCACTGAGGCACTGGAATATCTGAAAATGAAGGACAAAGCAAACAATTCTGTAATTAAATGGACCTCGAGAAGAGGCACACAGCCTGGTAATAAAAAAAAAAATCATTCGGTTGGGTCCCTGAGGCATACTGGGAAAATCCTCTATGAGATAGGCAAGTCCTCGTCAAAGGAATTTTTATTGTAGGGGGGGGGGGGGCAAGAAACTAGGAGCTAAGCCTAGGGAACCCCCAAATCCTGTTTTCTCACTGGATTTAGGACACTTATTTTGACAAAAAATTTGTGAAAAGTTAATTTTGTGAAAAGCTCACGTTTTGACTGGGGGGGGGGGGCAATGTTGGTCACTGGTGGTGGGCAATCCGCTCGACTGTCGACTGGGGACTGGGGAAGCGACCCCCCCCCCCAGTTAACATGTTAAACTAGGCCCTGGATATAGATATCCATTTTATAAGTCCGTACAAAAGAACGATGAAGTCTGAAGATGCTATGATGTATTGCAGTTTGAGAAATCCAATCTACCGAGGTCATCAGGGCGTATCACTGTGTTTGGGAAACAATTAGGGACTGACAAAGATGCATCAGACACACACAAACACCAGGCAGCCTTATTGCCAGCCTCAGCCTGACACCTCGCGGCTGTCAAATCAACTATTGCTATACGACTGCCCGCTAGGCCGCCCATTGCTGTTCAACTGCCCACGCTATGATGAATGAAAATGACATCAGACATTGTTTTCAAAAGCATGGAAGCAAGGCTTAAATGACATTCTTTGATGGCAATTAAGGGAACATTATATGGTTTGCACTGTGAAATTCTAATGCGATGTGAGAGTGAAAATTTAGAGTGAATCATGAAGAGTGTCAACAAGCCAGGACAAAGCAGCCAAGGCAAGATTTTGTTTCCCAATCAGCTGGTTTTGTTTATAACATTTATCTGATAAATACCATACCATGGCTAGCAGTGGCGCGGGAAGTACTTTCAGGCTGGGAGGAGGGGGGGGCACAACTGACCCTCTCTGGAGTCTGGTGTAATCCATAATAGAGATCAACCTAGGGCACCTACCCCCAAATTTAGTTTTCTCATCAGTTTTAGCCTTTAGGTCACTTATTTTTCACAACTTGGCCTTTTCATCGAAAACAACAAAACAAAAATATTTGCAAAAAAGTGAGGTATTCCGTCTCAGCTTGGTCAAAGGACTTCATTTTTTGGAACCTCGAATAAAGGCTTAAACCTGTTGCATGAGCTGTCTAGCCAGAAAAAGAGGGAGATTTTTCACTTAAATGTTTTAGACTATTCCCTAATTTAGGGAGGGGTTGTCACACAAAGGTTTTCCAACCAAGGAGAGCTGCTGTAGGTTGGTAGGTTGTAGGTTGGTAGATTGCTAGTTTGTAGGTTGTAAGTTTGTAGGTTGTAGGATAAATTAGATCAGGCTAGGTTTGTTTTGTTTTGGGCAGAAAGAGCATCTACGGGTTGTCGGGTATAGCTCCTCCTCTTGGTTGAACAACCTTTGTCTGCACTAGTACCTACCTACCTAATACTTAATAAGTTTAACTTAGGCAATTAGCTAATGTCAAATGACCTTAAGGCCAATTAAGGTTGGATTAGGTTTTGCTATTTCTGCTTGTAGCACTGGCACAACTTCTTTATTCAATTTTGGACTTAGGGTGCAAAAAAGGGCTTCAACCCAAGCCTGCGGCTAGCTACCTTTCACTTCTGCACCCTCTAAAAACTGGAATTGACAAAACAAAAACATGAAAGGAAAGAATACATACTTCTTAGCTTTCAAAGTGACACCTCACATCACAACTTACCATACTTTTTTACACAAAACAGGTATAACTTAGGCCTGATCACACATGGGACGTAAGGCTAAGCGACATTGATAGGCTTTTGTTATTTTTGCATGTAATGTACCTGTTTTTTAAAGCAAATATTCAAACTAATATTTTCCAGATTGATATACTATTTGTCACAAAATGGTATGAAATGTATCAATTTTGAGCCTGGCGTTAAAAAATTACATTTTCATCAAACCCGTGAACAATAAATTGATTGACCTGACAGCATAAATTTTACTCATTTCTCTTTTGCTAAGCAACACAAGCATAAGTCCAATTGGCAGATCTGGTGGAAGAACTAAACACTATTGTGGCTGAATTTTTGATAATTTGTGATTTTGTTGTAAGTTGAAAATGGCCACCAGCCCACCAATATTTTCCAAAAAACCCATTGCAACACCCCAATTGATGATCAAGCACACAAAGCAACAAAATGGGCGGTGTTATAACTTGAACTGTTTTGTTTTAATCTTTCAACCAATGGTCTTCCAAATACCAACCTGGGAGTTCCGCGCTCGCCTTCCGTCGATCGCCCCCAACAGGTTCTTCTCCTGCACGATACGCAGGAGCGCTCGCTCCTCATCCTCCGTCCAATGCTTCATGGCTGGCGACGGCTCCAAGGAATCGAACAAAATGTTTACAAAAACTGATCTAATTGAGCACAAAATACAATATCCCTGATCAACGCCCTCAAACTTGAACTGGCACAAAGTCAAACCAAGGCCGCCAGCCCAAACACAGCTGTTTTGAAAATAGGCGCGACATGGGGCGCCAAAAGCTAATTATATTGTTATTTTACTTTTCATTCAACGTAAATATGACTTATTATGAGTTATTTTTGAAAATTATAAACAAAATAATCATTGCTGAGTCATCCTAATGCATATTTTCAAAAAATACGCTAAAAAAAGACGTTCTTAACGGATATTTCCCATTAATTCATCGGATATTTCCGTTCCGCGTAATCGTCATTTTTGCGCGCGCTAACCAGTTTACATGAGTCGAAACTTGCGCACTTTTCGCTAAACGGAAATATCCGTTCTAAACGTCATTTTCGCTGACTCATGTAAACGGGGTAAATGTGGATAATAATAATTCCAACCGATTATTATCCCAACTGGATACACAGATTGGGGCCAATCGTAGCCCGTCACACCAACCTCCCACTAGATGCGTTCTACTCACGGTTGAGCCTGGCCCACGCGAACAGCCGGAAGCCGTTCTTCAGCACGTCTCCCGGGTACATCAGCAGGATTGTCTCGAAGTCGTCAACCAGGGCGCGCCGCAGTATGGCGTGTCGGATCGGCTCGTTGACCCTCTCCTCCTCCTCATCCTCGCCCTCCGTGGCGGCCGGGAGGTCGGGACAGGAGCGGCGCCAGCGGCGCAGGTGCAGGAAGTCGGCGCTGATGTGACGCCGCAGCGCCTGCCGGCGCAGCCACTGCAGAGCCGTCTCGCGGTTGGCCGGCCGCGGCGGAGTGCCTCCGCGTCGCTCTGGGGACCGCGAGGCGCTCCGCCGGCGCCGCAGCAGGGAGAGCATGGACACCTCGTACGCTGCGGCCGACTCGGAGAGTCTCCGGCCGGGCATCGAACGGCGCCGGTAGCGGTGCTTCTTCGGGTCGGGCGCAGTGCCGCGGCGCCACGTCTGCCAGCGCGGCGGCTTCCCCGGAGAACCGACCACGGAAGAGTTGAACTTCTTGAAGGCCTTGGCCACCGCCTGACCCATACCGGAGATCGAGGGTTGTTCAGACGGATCGTCGCGTGGCGGTTTAGAGGCCGCGGTACCAGCGGAGTCGGTCTTCTTTCCCGACATGGGTGTAGACGGTTTGCCGCGAGTGACGCCCTCCTCGGGACCGGCAGGGAGCGAGGACACGGCGTCCTCGCCAGCCTCCACGGGCGGGGTGCCGCTCCGGGTCGACGGCGCCGCGTCTGGAGGCGAGTGGTGCACCCCCTTCTTGAAGAACTCGGCCACTGCATGTCCGATGGTATGGTGGGAGTGGGAGCGCAGAGCAGCGCCCTCACCAGCCTCAGACCCTGGCGGGGAGTAGTGGCCCTTCTTGAAGAAATGAGACACCGCGCTCCCGATGGCTGAATGCGACATTGCACGGCCGATCGTCGAGTGAGAGAGCGTGTGGCCCAACTTGTGCCGATGATGCTCTTTGTGATGTTCCTCAACATATTCACGCGCCAGCGGCGAGCCCACTTCCACCTCATCCACGAACGAAACTGACTTGGGCGGCGACGTGGCGGCCTCCCAGAGGGAGAGCTTCTTACGGAAGGGCAGGTGCCAGTGGCCGTGGGGTCGGTCGCGCTCGCCATCATCCTCGGTGGACCCAGAGTAGCGCTGCGGCGGACCGTCGCCTCCGTCGGCCACCGACGGTGAGAAGCTCACATCCGACGGGCTGCCCACGCTGCCCTGGTGCGCCAGCATCGACACTGACGAGGTGGCGGACCCCGTGTCCGGCCGACGGGGCGTGACGCCGGCCGGCGAGCGCTCCTTGGGCCTCGCGCCAGTGTGCTCTTTGGGTCTGGCCCCACCGCACTCTTTCGAACTGGTGCCCTGATGTTGGGGAGTAGAATCCGAGGACTTCCTCGGAGCCACCGCGCTGGCTACCGTCTCAGTCGCTGACACGCTGGATGAAGTAGATGGCGACTTCGGTCCTTTGGCTACCACAGTCTGCTTGGGTGAAGCTCGAGATGGTGATAAAACACTGGTCGGAGAAGAAGCTCCAGGTGATGATGACTTTCTAGGTGACGATGATGTCGCGGCTGGCAGTGATGTCGCTGGCAGTGGAGGCTGAGCTGCCGCTGATGAAGCCGGGGAGGGTGGCGAGGATCCAGCCTGCCGCGCCCCCACGGAGATGGTCTGAGTATCTTTAGGTACTGGCGATGAGGCTCCAGACGGTGACGTAGCACTACCTGATGTGCTGTGAGCGGCAGCGTCACCACCTTCACCACCGCTGGGCGCAGCGCCGTCACGAACACCAGCACTTGTTCCCTGCACTGACTCCGATCCCTCACTGACCGCTGGCGCCGCCGGCTCGGAGGCCATTTTTCGCAAGTCGAGGACAATACCCGAACCGGAGCGGTCCGCAGCCGAGCGCGGTCAGCGCGTCACGCGAGGAGCCGTGCACCGAAGAACGAAACAAACGAGGAAACACCGCAGCCGAGTCGCTTCACACCGGCTCACTAAAACCGCAACGTCCCGGCGCGCGGCCACCGAGCGCTCGGCGCCAGCGCGCAGCCCCGCCGGGACGTCGCCCACTCGCGACTGACGCCGACTGCGACCTCGACCCGACCCCGACTGGGTCACGTGGTGCGCCCACCGCCTGGGGCAGCGGCCGCCGCCACTCCACCCAGCGTCCCACAGACAAAATCCACTCACAGACCGAGTCCTGTATGTACACCAACCCAGTACCGACGTCCGACTGGACCACCGCGGCGGGGCAGAAGCTCACCAGACCTGTCAGCGCGCAACCCCCGGACCCCCCGCCCCCCTGTCGCGGTCGCGGTCTTTTCCATCGCGGCCGCATTGTTCGACGAGGAATTTTCCGGTGGGAAGGGCGCGATGGTCAAGTCCAATATCCATTACAACAGGGAAGCGAGTGTCTGAAAATAAAAACTACGTTATGCCACATATGTCTGCACAGTGCACACCACTCCTCTCTCGCACCAAGCTGCTGCTGCTGCCAGCCTTTCCGGAAAATCCAATTCGGTTAGTCGGATTACTTGTGACGTCATTAATCTTGATGACGGGTTAAAGTACGACGCATTATGAACCGGCCGCAGCCGCATGATTCACGCAGTAAGTGCATATGAAAAGCGTCAGGAGCTTCGGCACCTGACTGGTAGGTAGTAAACTTCCGATTATTTTTCATAAAATTCGTGGAATTGGCTTCAAAGATGACCCATCTAAATGCGTTGAAGGGTATCAGAAACGTAATTGGAGTAAAACATATTACCTATCTACCGAGCAGACACACGAGAAGCAACCGTTTCTGCCAGAAGCCCACGCATCACCCATAATCTGCTCCCATCAATTACCTTGAATGTCCTTGGTTAATCCGTCCCGATTGTGGTAGAAGTAGACGAGACGCACCAAATTCAATTGTCTCCTAACCAGGAAATGCGACAGGGAAACACGGTCCCACGCACGACAAAGCCAGACGTCACCAAGCACCTGTCAGTTGCAAACAGCGCTGCACACAATGAGGTCGGTTTGTCATGCACTGAAGCGTCAGTTCACCTGTTGCAGACCGAAGGAAACTGCCAAAGTCGTGGCATGGCGGTGCAACACAAAGCACAAACGACATGCACATCATCTAGCGCACAGACCCACAATCAGGTGATCGAAGTGAAATCGTTGTACCAATAAGGAAATGTTGGAGCCGTAAATGGGCAAGAACCAGTTTGAGGAATTAAGGCACTATTGTGATGAATGCGAAATAAAACTGGTCATAGTGAAGACAATTAATACCTTGCGTTTCACTTGAAACAGCGTCGTCCGGAAAAAGTTATGGTAAACAGATACAGGTACAAAACTAACCATAACGGACCACCTCCGAACACAGGCATTCGTCGTAAATAACCAGAATAACCGACGGGATATTTTCTCTGAAGCTTTGGAAATGACTCCATCCAAGGAACGGTGCCGTCTATATCTCTAAATCACATTTGTAAGCTGTCATTAGGAAATTCTGTAGAGCTTATCTAAAAAGCCAATAGCCACATCAAGACTCAAAAACATGAAGCATGTGTCACTTAGGAGCATATCATCTTTTAAGTAGTAAGAGGTAATTCCAACGTATGGGATATTTACTGTCAAAACAGTCGCCATTTACAATCCCCACCAACTCAAAACAAATTCGACTTAAGGGATAAATCTTTCAACAGAGGCACCAAACAGTAATCTTGCACCAAATGTCCTCAATGCAAATGACGTGTCATCAATTGGTTTGTGACGCCACAGACAGCCCTCGACCCACCCGCGTCTAAACAGTTGAAGTGCGAGGCGCCTCGGGGCTCGCCGGGAACCCGAGCAAAACCTCGCCCGGCGACAATCCCGCCGAATGGGCCCGGTGACGTCCGGCGGCAAACAGCCTCGTCAGCCGGCGGCGGTGCAATCAACTTGTTTGTCACGTGCCACAAAGCGGCCGTCAGGCCACCGCCGAAGCCACCGAAACGGTCGGAGTTGGTAGGGGCTTCGTGAAACGGTCAAATCAGAGTGACGTAAAGTCTAAGTGAATATTGCGATATATGCTGGCGAAGACATACAAGTTAGATATCCAGACACGACATACATGTTGGGCAGAATTAAAAACGGGTCACGATTCACGTCACCATTAAATAGTGCCCCACCGTCCATCTAATTATCACCAAAAGACAATACTAATCTGACCGCCTATCGGACCCTCCTCCACAGCTCCGCAGCCTATAAACTTCCTTTTATAGAAAACGTCACTCTCCACAAGTGTTCCCAGTTCTCAGCCCGGCCAAGGAAGGGAGGGGAGGGCGACAAGCACCCCTGTCAATCACATCCCGTACGCGCGGCTGACGACCTCAGGTGGTGCGTCGAGCGGCGCCACAGCGCTGACTAAGCCACGCCGCCGGTCTGTCCCTGCTGCTCACAGGCGCGCTCACAGCGAGAGCTGCTGAACTGAGGAGCGATGCAGCGAGCTCTTCGAGAGCATCGAATAGTGCTGGCTCAACCATGGCAACCCATGACTGATGGCGCCACCTATGGCGCCCGCTGCCGCCGTCGGCCGACTGCTCCAGAAACGAGTGTCGAAAAGGGAGCAGCACTGGTCCGTCCGACTGAAGTCCACTGCAGTTTATACGATGCATTCCGATGGATCAATCAACGACGCAGTTTGCACCTGACTTGAAAGAGTCAGGTGCAAGAACCGATAGCGTGCACCAAACATGATCACGTAGACCCACAGAGCCTTTCAATACAGTCCAAAAACTTTCCTATGCCTCAGAAAGTCGTTAACTCCCTACCCATAGTCAAAAGTCAATGTCAAAGCTGTGTGATGCCCGGCGGAGACAAGCCCCATCAGCTTTAGTCCTCCCGCCTCCACTG